TTAAAGTTGTAAAGTCTTGTGCTTGATAATATCTACTTTGTATATAGTTTTCTGTATTATTCTAGTAGTTTAAAGATTTATATTGGTATATATTATAAGCAGTTATTTCTTCTTCGTATTCTATTTCTAATTGGGTAATAATTTTTTCAATATTTTCTTCACAAATTGTTTTAAGTAGATAATCAAATTTTAGTTCTATTTCTTCTTTGGTTACTTGCAATAGTTTATTATATTTTCATTGTTGGGCAATAGTGTTATGGTTATATTTTTTATAATCTTGCTCTATTATTGATTTATACTCGTCATTTAATTCTTGTAATTCCTTTTTTAATTCTTCAAGTTTTTGTTCTTTATTCATTTATTAAGAGAGTTCTAGTTTAGCTTCTTCAGGTTCTGGTTTGTATATTCTTTTATTATGACATGTAATTTTTTCAATAGAGTCTTGTAGGAATTCTCTTTGTTTTTCTGCAGTATCGTAGTCTTGAAATTATTTTTCTTTTGTTTGATTAAGTTGTTTAATTTGTTGTTCAAATGTCAGAATATTCTTTTTTTCCAGTTGTTGGTTATTATTTGTAATTGTTTCAGTTAATTCTTTTAGGTTATTATAAGTCAAACACTGTCCTACTTGGTAAAGTATTTGTCTTATATAGGAATGAAATTGTATTTCGTAAAATTGATATAATGAAATAGTTTTTTGTTTAAAGTTGAATATTCATCCAATATCTTATTCTTCAATTATATTGTTGGGATGTTTAGATTTAATTATTGTATTGATTATTAATATTATTGCTAGTTTAAATAAATATATTTGTTGGGGTATCCTGTCGTATTCGTATGTTATTCCTTCTTTCTTGAAGGGTGATTGCATTTACAATTGGTTTTCTTTCTTTAATCTTTCTAGATATTCTTTAAATAGTTTTTGTTGTATATTATCAGTTGTTTGTTGAGCTTTCTTTTCTACTCGTTGAATATATCGTTGATGATAACTAAGGTCTAATTTGTATTCAGGTTTAGGTCCTCTTTTCTTGTATTGTTTATATTTACAAGGTATTTGTCTTTCAATACAGTTGTCACAATCGTTAATGTTTGTTGATAATAGTTTGATACACTTTCGTTTATGGTTGTGGCACTCTATACAGGCATGCTTGGAGTATGGTTTGGTGTGTATTCTTCTTGATGTGATATGTTTGGGTATTTACTTTCTTTGTCAGAAGTGTCTTGTAAATTATCAAGTACTTTGTAAAGTTTGTCAAAGTTGTGTTGTTCTTTGAGAGATTCAAAGATTAACTTTGCTTCTTCAATTATATGTAATAGGTTTATTTTTGCGTCAAATATTTTTCTGAGATACTTTGGTTTTGTCAGATATTCAATAAATTCTTTTACAAATTTTATTACTAAGTTTACAGAATGAGTAGGGTATTTTATTATCACAAGATAGATCTTTAGCTTTGCAGTATTTGCAAATTGTATATCTTTCTGTGTTTTAGATATTCGTTTTTTATGATCAGTGTGTTTGGTCATGTTTGAGCTTTGGTCAAAATTATATTCTTTTTATAAGTTTTTCTGTTACTTTTGTAATACTTTGTTATCTTTGTTATTTATAATTTTTTAATTATTTATATGATTAATAATGCAAATTTATAAAATATGGCTAATGTAAATATTTATATAAGTTACAATGATAGGTAAGTTATTATTGATTTATAGCATAATTTGGGCACCTTTTCACTTTTTCTGCTATTTTGTTTTTCAATAGTGTTTTTCATTTTTCATTTTTCAGGGTGAATTATTTCTAAGGTTATTATTAAATTCTCTTTGAATATTATCAAATCGTTCTCTGGGATATTCTTGTCCTAGAATATTCTATTCAGTTACAGCTTGGTTTCGCCATACTGCTATTTGTCTTGCGCGTATTAAATAATCTCTTTTTTCAAGATTTTTGAATTTTCTTTTTAATTCAATATTATCGAGGTGGAGTATGTTATTCATTTCTTGGTAGATTTTTATTGCTTTAGCAAGGTATTTTATATTCTCACTTTGTTCAATAGCTAATTTTTTCAGGTTGGTTATTTCTTGTTTCATTTGTTCTATTTCAGTTCTTTCAATTTTGTTAAAGTTGAATTCTTCAATTTTGGTAGTTACTTTAAGTTTTTTACTAGGTATAAATTCTTCTTTTTCGATTTCATGAATTTGATCTTTTTCTTGTTTTCTTTGATATTCTACCTCTATTTGGAAGCAAATAGTGCATTTTACATTTTTAATATTTGTACTGGGGTTGATTGTTTGCATCCAAGACATTTTGATATTTCTTCGTAGCATTCACTACAGAATCTGCTGATTAGTTCTTTTTCATTATAGGGATATTTGCATTCTATGCAAAGTTCTTTTTCTTTGATATCCAATTGTGGTTCATCATATATTTTATATTAAGCTGTTTTTTTTTCTAGTTTTTGGTATCTAATTCTTTTGGTTTATAATCATAGTCTAGATTTTGGATAGTAATATCTGCTATGATTTGGTCTTGATCTTCATTGTTAATTTCTTCTAGTTCTATAATTATGTCTTAGTTAGTAAGCAATATATCATTGTCATTAAATTGATCGTCTAATTCATCATAAGATGATGTGATTATTTCTGATCATTTGTAGTGGGTTATATGCTATTCGTGGATAGTGTTATTTTCTTTTTCTTGTAAAAGTACTGCTTTGTGATTATATTGTTTAAAAATTCTTTCCTTATCAAGTAAAGCTTCTTCTTCTTTTATTAAGGCAATTAGTCTTTTGATTTTTGATTCATTGATACTTTTGCTTGTGTGTATACTATATCTTGTTCTATGGTGAATTTGTTGGTGTTCTCAGTATATTGGTCTGTCAGTTATTTCTGCATAGACCATAAATGCTATCATTTCTTCTAGGCAACACATGTATTGTTCTGTGTTCCAGAGTTGATAACCTTGTCTTTTTCTAATTGGTTTACAACAGAAGGTGCATTCGGTTAATTTATTTATTTCTTCTTTTTTATAATATTTTACGGCTTTTGGGTTATCAATTTCTAGTTCTTCGAATTGGGTGTGATAACATGTTTTACAAAGTAATATTTCATCATAATATTTCTTTATATTGTCAAGTTGATTACTTCAAAATTATTTAATGTGAAGTGGTCATTTTTTCTAACAGGTTGTTAGCAGTTGCAGCAGTGATGAGTTGGTGAGTTATATACTTCTTGGTGTGATTTATTTCCAAGTATTTCCTATTGGTAGATTCTTTTGTTCAGTACTTTTTTCTGGTTGTATCTACATGATTGGATGCATTGTGCTTCAAGAAGGTTTTAATATAGGCACTCTTGGTGATAGTCTTGAAAGCAATGCTTACAAGTGAGTTGCCATCCTTTTTTGATTCTTGGTAACAATAGTGGTTGTTTTTCTGGTTCTTCTTGTTTCTAGTAATTTTTCATTTCTTCAGTAGTGCTAGGTTTATTTGAACAGTTCTTTGAGATATGTTCTTTTTCTTCACAAATTTTGCAAGTTACAATTGGATAGTAAGAGTTAGGATGTTCTTGTTTAAAGCAGATTCCATAAGTAGTTTTTTGGTGTAGATATAATAAAAAGTCTTTATCAAATTTTCTTTCATTTTTCTTTGGGCAGTTGTATTGATCAAGTATAGATACTTTTTCACAGAAGGAGTACTCTTCTCTTGGAGTATTATCCCAGATTCTAAATTTTTCTTCAAGTGTCATTTCAGGGCTGATTGTTTCTTTTGTTCTTTGATTCTTCACAAATCATTTAAGTGCATTAGAATTGCTTGGGTTGAATAAGTAATCATGACCAGGTACCCTAGGATAATTGCAATTAGTACAATTGACAGATTCAGTTCTTCTCCAGAAGTTATTAATACTTTTGGTTCTTGATATTATTCCTTTTTCAGGGTTCTTTTGTTTTTTTGATAAGTAACTTTTTCTGTCGGAGTTGGAGTCCATTTCAGGGTTCTTA